CGGAACTGAGTGCTGCTGAACATTTGCATGGCCATGAGCAATGGTGAAGCTTGCTATTGCACTCTCAGCATGTCCTAGTATTATGCTGACTACTGCACTATGTTACTCTCTTACGCTACTACACGTATGTAAACGTGCGCGCATCCGCCCACGTATGCATTCGTTTCGTATAATTATTTGTTATCCCTCTTGACTTTACGTGTAAATGGGTGGACGTTTGCATGGCTGTTGGAGTTGCGTGTTTATTGTGTCTCTACTCTTTTCTTGGTGTTTTCCTGGCGTTGTATAAGTTTGTGTGTGTGTGTGTGTGTGTGTGTGTGTGTGTGTTTGTGTGTGTGCGCGTGCACAATAATTTGAAAACAAATAATTAATCCTTGGCTCTTCATTATTCTCTTTCGATTCTTGGTTTTTTTCTAGGTATTTTCTTGGCGTTGTGTGGGTATGTGCATGTGTGTGTGTGCGTGCACAATAATTTGGCAACACTACATGATTGAGATATTGTAATTTGCAGTGTCTGCGAAAAGACCACTTGATTTGAGGATGGTGTTTGTAGGGTTTTTCATGTAATGAAGTGGCTGCAGTGGCGCCTCAATACTTATTTTTTATCTTGAGAAGTGAATGATGTAAAGGATTAAAGGGAGAGGCCGTTTTCTGGTTAATATTCACTGCTTACAGCAGATCCTTTGTCTAATTTCGAACTCTGGATAGGGGATGCCTAATTGGCTGGACTTTATACAAGGAGTGTTGTCCACATAAAGACTCCTTATAGTTGATTTCAAAGTTTGGACTCCATACAGTTGATTTTGGACCAATGGACTCTATATAGGGGTGAAGCCAATTGGCTGGACTCTATACAGGGAGTGATGTCCATCTAAACTTTAAGCTCACAGTTGATTCCAAGTTTGGACTCTGTACAGTGGATTTTGGACCAATGGACTCTATATAGGGGTTGGACATCATATAGGGGCTGGACGCTCTACTGAGTCCAACATATATACATTCAATAATGTGTTACGAGAACAAACCAAAGTGCTAAAAATAGAATGAGGGAAGGTGAGACAATAGAAGTAAAGTGAGAGATAAGCCTGATCTTTGTAAGCAGAAGAAACATGTAGTTGCGTTAAGATTGTTTTCGTAGGTGCACAGCATGATTGTTTGTCTCACTACACAGTTCTAGCGTTGCAATTAGTTCCTCACCCCTGTTGCACTTAGCTCTTGTTGTTGTTGTTACTTTATTTTACTTCACCAGAATTACAGGCAGTAGAATGCCTTCTCACTAGACCAGGTCTAGTTCTCACAAATGATGAAGAATGTGAATGAACATGCTAAAGCTAATGAAAAACAAGAAATAGAAAAAAGATGAGAAAATCTTGTGTTTTATATTTTATGACGGTATTTGTATGTGAGTGACAGTGATTAAATGACAAGGGAAAGAAAAGAAAAAGATAGAAAGAAAAGAGTAAGGAATAAACGAAGCAGATGTATGAAATAGAAATAGAGAAGTTGAGGTATTTGAGGAGAAAAGTCAGTTTGTCGATTAGAGACCAAACCAAAAGATCAAAATGCACATGTCTGACGAATGAGTCAAGACAGAGAAAGCGTGTCAAGAACATCTGGGCACAGCAGGGCTTTGAAACCCAGAATATCTTCATGGCAACGAATATTTGCCGGAAGCCTGTTCCAATACACGCTGCCCACGAATTGCATGGACGCTCGAGATGCTGGTCCACGAACGAATGGAATTTGGAGAAGACGTGAGACCTGGCCACGTGTAACACGGCGTGTGCTTTGCTCAAGACCAGGTTCAGCGATCAACAGAAAGAAAGGCGAAAATAGCATGCTTGCATTGGAGGCAAGACATCTATGGACAAAACAACAATCTTGAGCTTAAAATGGTGGATCAGTGGGGAAATATTTAATCTAGAAATAAGAGGTGCGGTCGGTGTTTGACGAGGGAGCTGAAACACAGCTCTGACTCCAGCCTTGCTGATCTTCCCCAAACGGTCGAGAAGCTGAGCTGTGAGGCTTGGGTAGAATGCTGCTGAAGCATAACACAGCTGGCTGTTTACCATACTGGTGTACCACGACCGTCGAGCTCTAAGCGTTAGTGAACGCCCGTGTCTCCACAATTGCCCTATGGTTTGTGCAGTTCTACGTGACACATAGTCGACATGTGGCCTCCATGACAATTGGTCGTCGACGATCACACCAAGGTATTTTGCGGTGGCCGTCACCTCCAGTTGCTCGTTGTTGCAGAAAACATCGGGCGTGGCAATGGCTGCGCCACGAGGCTGAACGAACATGACCTGAGTCTTGCTGGCATTCATTACGAGGCCGATGTCTTCAAGCCATCGGGAGATATCAGTTACTGCTCTCGTCAGAGTTCTGCCAACAAAATCTAAGTCAGGATGGGAGAAATCAAGGATTATATCGTCAGCAAATTCTTGGTGATTGACAGTTGCAGGAAGTGCTGTGTGCAGATTACGGGTGTACAACACAAAGAGAATGGGTCCAAGAACGCTCCCTTGCGGAACACCACGCGTACAGCCAACAGAGCAAGACAAGCTGTCCAGCACCCTCACTTGCTGTGACCTGCCACTGAGGTAGTCACAGAACCAGTGTAGCGGTGCTCCTCCAATGCCTAGGGTGTACAGTTCATTAACCAGCCTCTCATGTTGTACACGATCAAACGCCTTCGACATATCAATCATAACCAAACCGGTGTACTTGCGCTCGGATTTCGCTAATAGCCAGCGATTCACTGCTAGTACCAATGCATCTTCTGTTGAATGGCGGGGTCGATATGCAAATTGAGTCATCGGGTATAAATCATTGCTGTACAGATATTCTGTCAGCTGTCTCTTCACAAACTGCTCTAGGATACGCGAAACGATAGGGAGTAAGGATACAGGTCTGTAGTTGCGGGCTGATGAGCGGTCTCCGGCTTTATGCAGGGGACTGATGTGGGAGTGCTTGAACGTGGTGGGCACAACACCACTCTGTAGTGAACTATTAATGATACAGGAAAGTGGTGGAGCAAGCACATTTGCACATTGCCGCAGGACAATTCCAGGTACAGAGTCACTGCCGGCAGCTTTGAATGGATCCACAGCTTTAAGACACTTTTCAACATCTGCAACACTTACAGGTTTGAAGACGTGAAGACTGTTGGCTGGCATTGGCCCAAGTGGCGGGTGCAGATTCTGTGGTCTGCTTGGGTCATTGACAATTTCACCGAAGACCTGGCCGAGATCCTCAACAGAAACCTGAGGTATTTGACGTTCCTTCCGTCGCCCTGTGACTGTGTTCATTGCTGACCAAAGTTTCCGCTGATCAGGTGTGTTGCACTGGTTTACGAAGTACAGGTTACGAAGCTTTCGGTCAAGCTTCCTGGCAAAAGTTCTGGCGAGCCGATGTTGCTCACGAAGCACCTCATTGGCTTGATCCTTCATGAGTCGATGGTGTAGCCTGTTGCGGTGCCGTACTGCAGATACCAACTCCTCAGTTAACCAAGGACAGATACGGCGACCACGCTTGCGCCTCGCCACCAAGGGGGCGTGCTCATCTAGTGTTTCCATAATAGCAGACGTGAATGCACCTGTCATGTCATTTATCGTGCCGTTCCGAGGGAACTGATGAAAGTGGACACACAGATCAGTCTGAAACTTCTCCCAGTCGATGGTGTGGATACGGCGACTCTGTCCGGGTTGTGATGTTCGGTTTACCCCTGTCTGGTTTACAGGCAAGTGTGCAAGGATGGCGAAATGGTCGCTAATATCTCCGTAAATCGTTTCACAGGCACCAGAAATGGGTGTATTTGACAGAAACAGATCTATGGTTGAAGCCGTGTGGCTCGTGACACGAGTTGGTGAGGTGACATAATTCCGAAGATTACTACTGGATAGTACTCGGTGCAGATGTTGTGCGTTCGGAGAGTTCTCACAGCTGTAATCAATGTTGAAGTCTCCAATGAGAACGGTAGATGCCTGAGGGCCTTCCATAGCAGTTTCTATGTTCTCTTGAAGAGAGTCCCAGTACGGCACTGGCTTGTCTGGAGGACGGTATCCACACCCGACAAGGAGAGTATCACCAGGACATCTGACTTCCAGCCATACAATCTCTAGCTCAGCAGCTTCCAAATCCATTCGTCTTCGGACAACCACAGACTCATGGCAGTAAATGCCGACGCCACCACCTTGCTGGATGGGGCGGTCCTTCCTGAAAAGTTTGTAATGAGGAATCGCCAATTCTCCATCACCAACATCGGGTTTCAACCAGGTTTCTGACATACCAAAGATGTGCACTCCTCTGGCCGACAGGAACTCCTTCACCTCATCCACTTTCCGTCTGATGCTGCAAACATTCAGAAATGAGATTGTCAGCATTGACCTTTAGATTTGCTGCGGGTAAGCACTCCATCGTTGAGATCGCTGGTCGCTGACTGATCTTTTGGTCCGTCAGGCTTCTGCATATCCACTGAGTTCCCAGATCCAGGGTACTTGTCAAAGTTCCATTTTCGACTGTAGTACGGAGATGGCCAAAATTCCTTTGTATTTACAAGTTCAATACTCGTTCTGTTGAGAATGAGTCGGGCTGAGTGACCTTTCTCCTTGGGAAATAGCGTGCAATCATGGATTTGCACCTTAACGCCTCAGCTCTCACTTTACTTCTATTGTCTCACCTTCCCTCATTCTATTTTTAGCACTTTGGTTTGTTCTCGTAACACATTATTGAATGTATATAAATTTTTGATTTGGCATGGTTATTCTTCAGTCACGGCTTTCCACTGATGATTGTGACAAGAAAATCGATTTTGGTAAACCTTCATGACTTTGGTGTAGTGTGGCGATGACAGCAGAATTTGTTCTCTTTATAGCTATTATAAAATTGTTGTCTCCGCGTCGATTATTTAAACGACGTAATGCGCGCATATCCAGATATCCGTGATCAGTGATGACGTATTCTGCAAAGCCTTTTTCAAAATTTCAAAAACACGATTCTGCTCAACAAAGTCAAAGGCATCGTCCTTCTCGAGTTCATGACATACGAGTAGTCATTCTGTTTTCTTTCCCATGCCCATTCTTCCACGGACTGCACTGTCGCTCATGCTGGCTTATCAACGGTCCTTCCCTGGCGTCTCTTGCGCATCCGCACGCCGCGCCATCAGCAATCGACCAGCAGTTCGCGTCCTCTGCCTGGCTGCTGCTGTTTTGCACACCATCCCATGCCTCGCAGGTGAATTACCAGTGCAGTGTGTGTTTGACCGATTCGTTTTGGATTGCTTCACATACACTCCAGGGCCTCTGCTTCATGTGAACCGTGAATTCACTCCTAGAGGTTTGGGTAGGAAAAAACTTCCAGTGTCAATAATGTGTACAAGCACGTCAAATCTAAACGATAAAATTTGGTTCAAAAAATCTAATAATTTGATGCATGAATGAAAATATTGTTTCGAGTTGAAGACCATTCTGCTTCTTCAAGAAATCTTCACAACTATTGTACAGTACTATACATTCACGCTCGTTGCAGCTCTAGAGGGTCTAGACCTGCGAATGCTGAAAATTTAGAGCCCAAATCAGTGCATTTTATTGATTCACAGGGTACTTGGGGCAAATAGTGGTACAGTCAATACCGTAGTGGCCGTACCGTGTGCGACGCCCCTGGGGTGGTTTAGTGGACTGGGTATCTTCGAAGTGGTTCGCAGATATCTAGACTCTGTACACCGGGCATCATCCCTCAATAGTAGACATAGGTTGTCACAAGCCTTGCGGAATTGCCTGGTTCCCCGGTATGCCGTAAGCGAGTCACCATGCACCCTGGTGATTGATCTGTGAAGTGCGGAATCGTCCTAGGGAACAATACACACATTTGTGCCATTGTTGCACCGCAAATATACCGCTGCACCAACTAGCCCTGGGACGATTCCGTGTTTTGACTCCACAAAACGTCTTGGGACGATTACGTATTCCATCGGCCACTTCTGTCCAGCGCTGTGACCAACTTTCGGCAACTTAAGCCTGCACATGTGGGCTAAGCTGTGCATGTACATGTACGTTCGCAATACTGTAGTTGAAAATACAGTCATCTACCACATGTATCATGCCGGAATTCATCCGCAGAAAATTTAAAACTGTGTGCTTTAGTAATGGAAGTAGGCAGCCATCATTGCAGGTTGAACCGCACACATCCGTTTTCCACAAAAAAACATCCGGATAGGCGAGGGAACCGGATAATCGAACACACATACTGTATGTATGCATGATATACGCTGTACATCGGTAACCAATGATTTTCTTCCGGATAAAAGAGGACCGGATAAGCGAGGTCTGACTGTATATTCATTGTGATGCTCTGTGTTGTCTGTGCTTGCTGCAGCTGATACAGGTAACCAGTACTGTTCAGCATCTACAACCTCAGCTAGTCAGCAACACTGCAAACAACCACCGTCTACAGAGAAGGTAATTTGTCTAGCTTGCCTGCTCGTGCCATTGCTGCCTGTATTGACAGCATGTTGCTACTACACTGGTGAGGATAATCAATCCTACTCTTGTCCGCTACGTTGCTCTTCGTTATCTTGGCATCATTTCACAGGTTGCAGCTCTGAGATGTGTAGTTCACAGGTTGCAGCTGTGAGATGTGTAGTTTAGACTCTATGCTCTCACAGTCTGCTCCCGTCCGATCCCGGCATCATATTGGCGTCCATCTGTGTGTGTGTGTGTGTGTGTGTGTGTGTATGTTTGTGTGTGCGTACGCGTACGCGTTTGTGCATGCGTGTTGAACTACAGGCTTCTACTCCTGTCACACAAGAGACTCGTCGCTTCTCCACAGGCATGGCGTGGAGGGCAAACGCTAAGGATAATGAAGACCTTATTGATCAGCTATTGAGTAAGTCTTACCCGCGTTTGTCTTCCTTGCCCCCCCCCCCCCCCCCCCCCCCGTATACCTACTCGTGGCTTGCATTTGATTGAGGGATTATGCCCAAATGTCAATGCTTTCCGTTGGGTCTGAGCAAGAAGTGAGGACATGCTCATGCTCTTCCGGCATCCCCATTTCCCTTCTTTCCCTTCCTGCTCCCAAACGCCCCCCCCCCCCCATCCCCCACGCTCCCCCACCGTGTTTGTCTGGGTGCGCTTTCTCCTTTCTGTTAGTGAATCCGTTTTTCACTCACATCTCGGTGAGACCTGTGAGTCTTGCCTGCTCAATATGTGTTTCTTGCTTGTGTACACGCTCTCTGCTTATCTTCTACCCAGAACACAATGTTGTCCAGTCGAAGCGGGTTGAGGAAGCCATGCGTGCCATCGACCGAGGTAACTACGTGTCAAAGACACGCGCGTACCAAGACGCTCCACAAACTATAGGTAAGTCGGCATGGCGATTGTAGGTCATGCATGCCGGTGATGCACGACTTCCGAACGATAACCTTTGGATATTTTCTCACACGTGTACGCGATGCTGTCTCTTACTGAATCTGCAATCTGCTCAGTATCTTGGTATGTGTCCACCGTGTCTTGCGTGGATATTAATATTGCTGTCCCAAAGTGTGGAAGGAGGACAATTTTGGGAAGTGAGTGCGGTGTGCCGCACAGCTCAATGATGGTGTGTAGTCAATTAACGCGAAATCATCCTAAACCATTTTTGAAAAATTCTGATGGCGAATTGGATCAATGTACTCGCTTGATCTAAAGAACTGGCATTTGGCCAGTTTATGCTGCTGCTAGGTAAAACAGTGGCTTGCTGCACTGCTGGTGCAGCTTGCTGTCTAACTGCACCGAATGGAACCGAAGACCAGGCCTTGCTCTACATACATGCAGTATGAGATGAGGGCATATGAGCAGACATGGAGTTGATCATATAGCATCGTGCTACGGTGCCGAGATCAAAGCTCGAACACCAGCCTGTACCGCTGCAATGACGATGGTCACATAAATGTACGGGAAAGGAAGAATTACCCGGAGGATGCACCCAGTGTGCTGACAGTGCTCAACACCGCGGAGGCAGAGCGCAATATGTTCTGTTCTGGAAAGGAAGAATTAGAAAACCTACTCGAAAGCCCACACCACAAGCATTCATGCCATCCTGGAAGCTTGAGTTCCTTGGACAACAAGGCTGAATTTCCTTGATTTTGACAGTTTCCCTGGATACCAATTTTTTAGCACACCCATCATGAAAAAAAATAATAAATCATGGTTCGCGTGAGACTCGGCTGGAGGCAGAGTTTTCTGTATCCGCAGGAATGCTCTTCTAAGATCAAGGCGCAGTTGCAGCTCCTGAAGCGGTGGGGGGTGAGTAGATCAGACCCACCACGACGCGGTCAAAGACCGAAAATTTCCATGCACTGCATCCATGTTTCCCTCGTGCCCGGCCACGAGTTCCCAAGTAACTGTGGGTGGCAGCACGGTAGGAAAAAAATCCTTCCGCTTCTAAGCAGGACTTGAACCTGGTACCCTCTGTTTCTCAATCATGGCCTTAGACCATCCCACTATGCTTGCCTTTAGCATTATTTGCAGATGTATTTTTCATGACTGCTACTCATGCAAAAAAGGATGTCGTTGCATTGAGCTGTAACTGCACAAGTAAAATTTCTGGGGACTACCGGCGATCCGCTGCAGTTCCACATGTTTTTTTGTCTTGCAGCGTCGCTTCAGCTCATTCTCACCACCAACGTCGCAACAGACACGACTCGAACACTTTTTTTTGCGAAACACATGGCTCTTGCCTATAGAACTCTGTTGTGCAACGCTGTATTTGCGAATCCGATCCTCCTTGAAAGAAAAAGCTCTTTTCTTTTTTTGTGGGTACAGTCTGGGTCACAGTTGACGCCTCTTCTTTCGACTACAAGTATATGTAGAAGAACCATGAAGACGAACTCTGGAATCCAATGCCAAGCTGCAAGTAGATTTCTATTCTCAAACGAGTTGCACTTGTGGACACGAGCGCTTGCTCTGTGTCTAGTATGTGCTGTGCTGTGTGTACTTACAACGGATCTAGTTCGAGGAAACGCTGAAAAATCGTCGTAAAAATGAGGGAAAAAACGTCACTTTCAAAACTTCCATCTCAATCCCGAGACTTTGCAGGACATCCCTGGACCCCAGGACAAATACCCTACTCCCCGGTCTCTCCCGGGAATCCCTGGACGGTTGGCATGTACATGTATGCACAAGAGTCGGAGAGAGCAGAGAGCAACTAAACACCGTCAATGTGCTTGGTGCGGAACAATGTGGCATTGTCAAGTTGAAATTCTTGCAATTTTTCCAATCGCTCTGTGATCGTTGTTTGAATCCCACCAATCTCGTCTTGTCCGGTTTGCTGTGGGCGCACGTCATGTGCGTGATAGTACCTATGGTAGTCTTGCCGTGACTGTGTGTGTATGTCTGTCTGTCTGCCTGTCTGTCTGGTCGGTCGGTGCATGTGTTGTTTCACTGCTGTGTGTGTTCAGGTTACCATGTGACAATCAGTGCACCACACATGGTATGTACTGCAAGCGTACACCCACGGAGTACACAACAACTCTCATGCATTGTTCATGGTGCTGTTCCTTTGTGCTTTGATGGGTGTCTCTTCTGTGGCAGTGCCCTGCTGCTGTCGCTGCTGCTGCTGCTGCTGATGTAGCTGCTACTGCTCTTGCTGTAGCTGTAGCTGCTACTGATCCTATTTGTCTGTCCATGTGGTGTACGTGTTGCGTGTGTGTTCGTCTGTTTTGTGTGTGTGTGTGTGTGTGTGTGTGTGTGTGTGTGTGTGTGTGCATGTATCTCTGTGTCTGTGTGTAGCATGCATACGCACTGCACATTCTAGAAGACCATCTCAAACCCGGCATGACCGCTCTGGATGTTGGCTCCGGGAGTGGCTACCTTGCGTCGTGTATGGCCCAGATGGTAAGGGAATGATTGCTAGTTGTGTTTGTGCTTTGTTTGGCAAACCTCGTTTGAGGTCTGAGGAACAAGGATCCGTATTACACATGAATAAGTATGGTAGACTAGTGTAAAGCGATAAACTTTCGCGGCGTGCAAATTCAGCGTTTTCATAAACCGGGCTGGTTCACGATGAGAAACGTTTGCGATTCTATCTCTTCAGTCGGATCTTGTACTGTCTACAATCAATGTAGGAGAGGTTTGCGGCGATTTATATTCGCGGATGTGTGATTGTGATGGTCGCGAAAATAGCGAAATTTAGTCTCTAGCGAAAGTTTCTCACTTTACAGTAGTAGATAACCGTGTGTTTGCAGAAAGGTCACTGTTTCCGAACACGGTGTCCTCCACCTTGTTTCATGCTGCTGTCAAACTATGAACACTATGAATAGCTATGAATAGGATGAAGGCCGCAGATGTCACGCAACTACGTTACTTGTTCGACATGTATGACTGTGTGTTTTATAACAAAAATATGATTGAAACCCAGAATGTACTCAGATGGAGAGCCAAGGTTTAATTTATACAAAAGAGAAAGACCAAGGAACTACAAGTTACGCTATACTCGCACTCCAACGATGTGCTAGAGCTGTTAGCCAGTTAGTTGTAGAACGTCAGTACCGTCGGTCAGTGTCGTGCAATACTATCGCATGAGCTGATTGTTTAGTAACTGGTGGTGTTAGTGGACAGTATAGCGTAACTTGTAGTTCCTTGGTCTTTCTCTTTTGTATAAATGAAACTCAGAATCGATCAGCTGGCCATGTCAGTATTCATGTGCTGCTCTCTCTCTCTTCTTCACCCACTCTATCTATTTCTCTCTCTCTATTTCTCTCTCTATTTCTCTCTCTCTCTTTCTCTCTCTCTCTCTCTCTCTTCTCTCTCTCTCTCTCTCTCTCTCTCTCTCTCTCTCTCTCTCTCTCTCTCTCTTGTGCTGGCTGCTGGTTCAGGTTGGGCCTACTGGTCGTGTTGTGGGAATTGATCACGTCAAGGAGCTGGTGGATATGTCCGTCACCAATGTCAAGAAGGGGGAGGAAAGGCAATACTTGGAAGATGGGCGTATGAAGCTTGTTGGTAGGGGGCATCTTTCTCTCAGATTACTCTCTCTCTCTCCCTCTCTCTCTCTTTCTCTCTCTCTCTCTCTCTCACTGTGATCAACAAGCATTATTCAATGATTCTGGAAGTGATATAATTATTGTGTCAATTTACATGTTGGAGTCGTAGCACAATTTTCAGAACATGGAGGTTATTTTGGTATATGTTTGTCGCTATTCCAATTTATGCGTCCACTCAAACCTTGTTTCTTCTGCTTTCCTGTAATGATTTTGTTTGCTTTTTGTGTGGGTGTGTTCGTGTGTGTTCGTGTATTTGTGTGTGTGTGTGTGTGTGTGTGCGCACGCGCATGTGTCTGTGTGCATGGTTGGTCTGCGCCTGGCTCGCCTTCTCTTTAGTTGGAGACGGGCGGCAGGGGTTTGCGGACGCTGCGCCGTTCGATGCCATTCACGTCGGAGCTGCTGCTGCTGAAGTACCGAAAGCGGTGAGCTCCGAGTTCCTTTGTACTGTTCAGTACACAACGGGAGGGACGAACAGTTGCAATTTCGTAGCTCTGAGTTTCACGAATAAAATCGATCATCTGACGAAAAGTGATATCGTCCCTACCCTGGCACTACTGCTGTATACCATGAATGTGAGCCGAGTATGATGTCTACCATCAGCATATCCAAATTTGTAGAAATGCACAAAGTGGATATCGCCATCTAGTGTCTGTGATTTATTGCAAGAGTCCATAACCCCAAGAGTGTGCAACTCTGTTCATGGGGATCCGCGTGGCGCAATTCCAACATTACGTCAAAAATGACGTACACGTTCGTTGCGCTTGTACTACTCCCTGGTTTCAAGCACCGCGGAATGCGGAGTTTCGTCCTCTGTGCCTCAGTGGCATGACGTAATGTTGGAATTCCGCCGCGCAGTGGGTCTACAGCAGCCGGACCTCAGTTGCACACTCTTGGCGTTCTGGACTCTTGTTTATAGTTATAGCCAGTAACCTCTGATAGCTAGCTCACAGAAGCCAAGCTTTTTCCCACTGCTGCAGGGTCTGGCCTCATCTCATTTTGCTCACTGTATGGCCTTCCCTTAATTCCAATTTCTCACACGTGGCTCTACTGTTGGCTTGCTATGTAATTATGCCTGCCAATTACATGTTCATGTACGGGCATCACCAGTTTGTCTTACCGGTATCATTTTGCGAGGATAAAGCTGATCGTAAAACTCGTAGTAAAACCCCCCATTCTACTCTGGCTTCTGTATGAAATCACTAGTCAAGAAAAGTCACTAGTAGATACAAAATCGTTGTGGATGATCTTTGCCTCTGCTTTTGACTCAAAGGTGTCTTTGCTGTCCACGCTGTGTTTGTACTCGGTTCTTGGTCTGCAGTTGCTAGAACAACTGAAGGAAGGCGGTCGTCTGGTCATACCCGTTGGGCCGGAGCATGGCGATCAATCTCTGGACCAGGCCGACAAGCTTGCTGGCGGCGAGATCAAGTGGGAGAGGCTGATGGGCGTACGCTACGTACCGCTGACTTCGCTCGACCACCAGCTCGGCCATTGATGCATGCTTTGCCTGCTGTGTGTGTGTGTTCTACTGCTGCGCTCGCTGTGTCCGCATCTCGTCGCAAGCTCTCATCTGCTGAAGAGCTGGTATTGCAATGCATGGTACGTAGAATCTTGCCTGCATGGAGCCATGCTAGTTTTTATTCCAGCATGTAATGACTAACGGCTTGGCCCGTCCTAATCCAGGTGAGCTTCCATGGTGACCACCGGTATCTGTATACGTCATCCGGTTTGAGAGTAATTTCAATATTAATTTGAGGAGGTATGGCTAACAGTATAGCTATCCCAGTTGTGTGTAGCTGGATCGAATTCCAGTATCTGTTTAGATCGAAACTAACTTGTCAGACTAATCCTGATCTGGAGAAGCACTTCCGGCTTCATCAATCATGCTTCATCCGGAATAGACAATCCCCTGAGCCCGCGTTGTTGTTGTTTTAGAATTGAAACTGGCTGAATTGCGTTTACACACTTTAGCACGACTAGCCTTTCACAGGAATAGCCCACGCGAAGCTTTGCTTTGATGAACATGATACCTCCCAGCCGTTGCTTTTCCCTGTACCGTTTGTACGCCCCACTCTAGAATAGTTGTCCTGCTACCCTCGACCACGCATGTGCGTGTGCAGCTGCTGACTAGCTTGCGCGCATTTGATATCTAGTGTTTTACTCTGCAGCACGGGTGCCGTTTTGTGCACATTCACGTGCACTAGTATCTATACTGCTCTTGTGAGATTCCAGGTAATTGGGAACTCGTGGCCTGGCACAAGGGAAACATGGATGCAGTGGATGGGATTTTCGGTCTTTGACCACTTTAGTCGTGGGTCTGATCTACTCACCTCCTACCGCTTATGAGCTGCATCAGCGCCTTGATCCTAGAGGGTGGTGGCGTTCTTGCAGATGAGGAAAACTCGGTTTCCAGCCGAGTCTCACGCAAACCATGAATTTTGTGAGATTCCACTGCCTTCTGTGCATCCATAGGAATGTATTCACTGTCATGCATCGCTGGCACTCTGGGATCAAAGTGAAGATGCGGCTCCTAAAACAGGGGGGGGGGGGGTACACCGTACAGTGCATATAGACCAGATCCACCGCAAAGTGGAGTGGTCATAGACGGAAAGATAACGAGCAGTGTCAGAGGTTCCTGCACCAGTTGCCCCCCCCCCCACACACACACTCACAGTTACCACTATATCCTGCAAAAGCCATATAATATATAGCGAAGTGCTAACTCTAACGAGGAGAAATCTGTCGTTAAAATAGAAATCGTTATACAGAAATCGATACATATACTGTCCTATTGAGCGTTGAAAATGAGTGAGAATCGTTACCTTTGGTACGCGTAAACTAGTCAATTTTGGGAAATCGTTATAATTATATGCGCCACGTTAGAATAATGGCTTTTACAGTACTTCTCTAGTCTTCCCATGCTTTGCCGCAGATCGATCACCACGGATCTGCAAGGATCTGCATTGCAAGGATCTGCATTGCAAGGATCTGCATTGCAATGATCTGCATTGCAAGGATCTGCATTGCAAGGATCTGCATTGCAAGGATCTGCATTGCAAGGATCTGCATTGCAAGGATCTGCATTGCAAGGATCTGCATTGCAAGGATCTGCATTGCAAGGATCTGCATTGCAAGGATCTGCATTGCAAGGATCTGCATTGCAAGGATCTGCATTGCAAGGATCTGCATTGCAAGGATCTGCATTGCAAGGATCTGCATTGCAAGGATCTGCATTGCAAGGATCTGCATTGCAAGGATCTGCATTGCAAGGATCTGCATTGCAAGGATCTGCATTGCAAGGATCTGCATTGCAAGGATCTGCATTGCAAGGATCTGCATTGCAAGGATCTGCATTGCAAGGATCTGCATTGCAAGGATCTGCATTGCAAGGATCTGCATTGCAAGGATCTGCATTGCAAGGATCTGCATTGCAAGGATCTGCATTGCAAGGATCTGCATTGCAATGATCTGCATTGCAAGGATCTGCATTGCAATGATCTGCATTGCAAGGATCTGCATTGCAAGGATCTGCATTGCAAGGATCTGCATTGCAAGGATCTGCATTGCAAGGATCTGCATTGCAAGGATCTGCATTGCAAGGATCTGCATTGCAAGGATCTGCATTGCAAGGATCTGCATTGCAATGATCTGCATTGCAAGGATCTGCATTGCAAGGATCTGCATTGCAAGGATCTGCATTGCAAGGATCTGCATTGCAAGGATCTGCATTGCAAGGATCTGCATTGCAAGGATCTGCATTGCAAGGATCTGCATTGCAAGGATCTGCATTGCAAGGATCTGCATTGCAAGGATCTGCATTGCAAGGATCTGCATTGCAAGGATCTGCATTGCAAGGATCTGCATTGCAAGGATCTGCATTGCAAGGATCTGCATTGCAAGGATCTGCATTGCAAGGATCTGCATTGCAAGGATCTGCATTGCAAGGATCTGCATTGCAAGGATCTGCATTGCAAGGATCTGCATTGCAAGGATCTGCATTGCAAGGATCTGCATTGCAAGGATCTGCATTGCAAGGATCTGCATTGCAATGATCTGCATTGCAAGGATCTGCATTGCAATGATCTGCATTGCAAGGATCTGCATTGCAAGGATCTGCATTGCAAGGATCTGCATTGCAAGGATCTGCATTGCAAGGATCTGCATTGCAAGGATCTGCATTGCAAGGATCTGCATTGCAAGGATCTGCATTGCAAGGATCTGCATTGCAATGATCTGCATTGCAAGGATCTGCATTGCAAGGATCTGCATTGCAAGGATCTGCATTGCAAGGATCTGCATTGCAAGGATCTGCATTGCAAGGATCTGCATTGCAAGGATCTGCATTGCAAGGATCTGCATTGCAAGGATCTGCATTGCAAGGATCTGCATTGCAATGATCTGCATTGCAAGGATCTGCATTGCAAGGATCTGCATTGCAAGGATCTGCATTGCAAGGATCTGCATTGCAAGGATCTGCATTGCAAGGATCTGCATTGCAAGGATCTGCATTGCAAGGATCTGCATTGCAAGGATCTGCATTGCAAGGATCTGCATTGCAAGGATCTGCATTGCAAGGATCTGCATTGCAATGATCTGCATTGCAAGGATCTGCATTGCAAGGATCTGCATTGCAAGGATCTGCATTGCAAGGATCTGCATTGCAAGGATCTGCATTGCAAGGATCTGCATTGCAAGGATCTGCATTGCAAGGATCTGCATTGCAAGGATCTGCATTGCAAGGATCTGCATTGCAAGGATCTGCATTGCAAGGATCTGCATTGCAAGGATCTGCATTGCAAGGATCTGCATTGCAAGGATCTGCATTGCAAGGATCTGCATTGCAAGGATCTGCATTGCAAGGATCTGCATTGCAAGGATCTGCATTGCAAGGATCTGCATTGCAAGGATCTGCATTGCAAGGATCTGCATTGCAAGGATCTGCATTGCAAGGATCTGCATTGCAAGGATCTGCATTGCAAGGATCTGCATTGCAAGGATCTGCATTGCAAGGATCTGCATTGCAAGGATCTGCATTGCAATGATCTGCATTGCAAGGATCTGCATTGCAAGGATCTGCATTGCAAGGATCTGCATTGCAAGGATCTGCATTGCAAGGATCTGCATTGCAAGGATCTGCATTGCAAGGACCTGCATTGCAAGGATCTGCATTGCAAGGATCTGCATTGCAAGGATCTGCATTGCAAGGATCTGCATTGCAAGGATCTGCATTGCAAGGATCTGCATTGCAAGGATCTGCATTGCAAGGATCTGCATTGCAAGGATCTGCATTGCAAGGATCTGCATTGCAAGGATCTGCATTGCAAGGATCTGCATTGCAAGGATCTGCATTGCAAGGATCTGCATTGCAAGGATCTGCATTGCAATGATCTGCATTGCAAGGATCTACATTGCAAGGATCTGCATTGCAAGGATCTGCATTGCAAGGATCTGCATTGCAAGGATCTGCATTGCAAGGATCTGCATTGCAAGGATCTGCATTGCAAGGATCTGCATTGCAAGGATCTGCATTGCAAGGATCTGCATTGCAATGATCTGCATTGCAAGGATCTACATTGCAAGGATCTGCATTGCAAGGATCTGCATTGCAAGGATGAACGAGCAAGCCTTGTTTTACAGTATACCCAAAGAATAGTACAATTGCTGTGTGCATGACAAAAGGATTCACATGCAGACTGGCTCTTCAGCATGCAAGTATCATGACGATATGAAGCGGTTGAAACACCAAGGTATTCATTGGGGGGGATGAGAATGATGCTCAATAACAAGAAAAGAAAAAGTTGTAGTCCAACATTCTCTGCTGGCTGGTGCAGTCAGATCGAGAAGAGACCTTTGTCATTCAATGTGATGAGTTGTAATAAATGTTAAGCTTCAGACAGAAATAACGCTATCCAGCCTGACAGCAAGGGCTTGTCAGTATCAATGTGTGTATCAATGTCAGTATCAATCAGTGTATCAATGTGTGTATCATGCATCAAGAATATTATCTACTACAGTACTATGGTATGGTGCGGCTAAACACTCTGTATCGACAGACTTATTCTGGCGTTGCACTAGAATCAACCCATACAGAGTACGGGTTTCGTCAGCATTGTGGGTGGAATTACTAGGTCTCGTGGTACATGTGACAAGAATTTGCATACTCAAATGGCATTGAAATCACCCATGGCTTTCTAAAGTCAGTTGACGAAGTGCTTACTTCAATACAAGAGTAATCGTTTTGATACACAAGTGCTGGCGGTTGGGTTTAATTTGCAACGCACTATCTAGCATAGGTGTACATTCTGCTAGAAAGTGTACTACAGAGCTATGATATGAACAACAAAGTGTCCTACACCTCCATCATTCAGTGCTTGGCTAAATCAACCCTCGACGAGGGCGTCGTCATTAATAGTCCTGATCCACTGGATGGCGAGTTTGCTTTACAGTCACGATGGCTCGTAGCAAAGAAAAACGTTGCCCACACGTGTGCCATTCACTGGCTGGCAGTGTGTGATGAACTAGAAGACGAGCTGCACTTCGCTGTTCCCTGTGCCGCTGTATGCCACCGTACCGTGAAGCTGGCCTCGATGAAGCTGTCGTTCCAATGATGTCTTGGTCATGACTGCACCGCTTGATGACATTGAGAAGCGCAACTGCAAACACGACAACGGAAACGGCCGGGATCAGAAACAGCCAAGTCGCTGTGCTTCAATGCACAGCCACTATAGATATTGAGAGAAAATCTGGCTATAAACCAGTTTCGTGCCATGCAACCTATGGAGGCTATGGTGGTCAATTAGCACAGAACCAGGTCTCATAGATTTCATGCCCAATAATCGCATGAACTTCTCAACAACAAAATGATTAGCTAGCTGGGTAGCTCACACACTGTGCTCTCTGAACAGAGCATCCCCGCTAAGATCAGAGCAGAGCATCGTCTCTGGAAAGAGTATCCGCTCTAACATCTGGCTTGAAAAATCTCTCAAATCCCTGGATAGAGCGTCCTCTAACAACCCTGGACATCACTACAATGCTACTCTCTGGCATCTGCAGAACGCATCAATACTGTGGACGTGACATAAGAAGACTCAAGGAATCTCTAATCCTCCTATGGTAAAGCACTATTCCGGTATGCGTCACACAGTCCTCTCCATGACAGCATGCTCATTCTTGAAACTTTGAGATCAAAACAAGTCTTGCAAATGTGTTAGACTGCTGTCTAAGCTAGCACATCACAGAACATTATTCTTACCTTGTACAGTGGTCTGCGATGACGTGCTTGTGCCTCCAATCGAACATTGCTGATGTAGGAACGAGGTACCTGAAGAGCAACGTACAGGTGAGTACATTCTCATCGGCAAGGGTGGCTAGCTGTACACGTAGCCAGTTTTTCTGACCAGCTTACAAGTAGGCTGGACTGGTTTTCGGGAGAGCAACGGGTCTGATACCAAGAAAAAGACTAGCAGGCTAAAGTGTCATAATCAAACAGTCACCGTAAGGTATGTACTGTATGGTATGGTATATTATTATTTAATAAACTAATTTACTTCCTTACTCAACAGTACTGAGTGCTACTAAAAGGAGAACCGAATCGGGAACAAAATTTAATGAGAACTTAGTGAAGTAGTAAGATCACCAGTCTGTAGAAGCTGGTAGACTCAACTACGAACAACTGTTCATTGCACCCTGGGTCAGTTGCAAAAGTAGCTTTCATGACAAAACCCGCGTGATCACACTAAGTTGAAAGTTGCACACACAGACTCGGCTCACCTCAAGCTGTGTGATGATCTCTCCGTGCAGTTCCTGAACCAATGCAGCGAGATCCTCCGTACCGTTGATACCCTCCAGCGGATTGTCACGTCCACGCAGCGATGCCTATCATGATGACAGAGCATTCAACATGTACACAAACACACATATACTGTAAAACCGGAAAGTCTAACGAGTCACAAAGTCTAACGTTTTAACGACCATTTTTTATTCGCTATATGAAGAAACGTTATCCCGAACCCAGTGTGTGAAAATGCGCATACATCGATGCATATTCTTGGTGGCCAGGTAGCCATCGTTAAATTTTCTGCACGTTATTATGCCAAAATTACAAAAAACGTTAAACTTTTTGGTCGTTGGACTTTCCGGTTTTACAGTACCGTATTTCCCCGAGTATAGGTCGCACTCAATTGTAAGTCGCACCCATCATTTCCAAGTCCATGTCACTATCGTTTTTTGATATATTCACTCTCTCTCTCACTCTCTCTCGCTCTCGCTCTCTCTCTCTCTCTCTCTCTCTCTCTCTTTCTCTCTCTCTCTCTCTCTCTCTCTCTCTCGCTCTCCCTCCCCCACCCACTCTTGGTGCGTCTAGGTGGCTATGAAGTCGAGACCCTAGGTTGGCGGAGCTCCCTAAACCTCACCACCACTGCCACGATTCAGGTTGTGCGTGCTTCCCCTAGCTGCATCTCATGTTTGGCATAAAGTGGTCTTTGTAAAAAAATAAAAAAAAATAAAAAAATGAAAAAAACTTCAGTAGTAAGTCATGCTCGATTATAAGTTGCACCGCTTTGTTGGCCCTGAAGTGAAGTGTAAAAGGCGCGACTTATATCCGGGGAAATACCGTATCATCCAATACAGCTAGTGAGGTGGACGGACGAGGATGTGCAAACATCTTATAGCATTGCCCTATTGCACCCTTCATTTGACACTCTCCCTTCACTCCTATTATCTGTTTGATTATTTGCTATTTTCTGCTGTGTTCCAAAATTAGATCCTCTCCTTCGTTCTAAATCTTCCATTTTTCTCCCGTGCTTTTTTCCCCTCATGCTTATGCTCCCCCCCCCCTCCCCCCTCCCCGAATTTGGTGCGCCTGCCATGTGAAGATGCCGAGACCTCTGGTCGGTTGAGCATGGCAAGCCCCACCAGCACCATCTCACCCCATGCTAGCCCCACGTGCCTGCCGGGGAGTTGTATATTTTGTAAAAAATAAAAAATAAAATAAACATTGGAATTGAAGCACAGCACTGCCGACTGATGCCAGACCTCCAGTTAAGGAGTGCAGGAGATATCCAGGTCCTTAAGGTCAACTATAAGCAATACTAAATGATGCCATAATCCAACTGAGATCATATCGGATGTGTGTTAGCCATACTGGTCTTTGCAGGGGGGGGGGGGGGGAGGGGGGTAATATTCTGCACTTCATTAACTTGACGTGCGGCACGTACCCTGAGTCGCTGTAGCAGAGTCGTACCGGGCTCTTCATTGGGAGCTGGTGTGAGTGAGAGGAGAGAGGGAGAAAGAGAAGAAGAGAGGACGAGAGGATTAGAGGTAGACAGAGACACGGACAGTCAGATGGAATGAAAGAGGCAGAGACACACACAGAGACGGACAGACAGACAGACAAACAACCAGACGAAAGAGTGACAGAGACACACGGAGAGGCAGAGAGAGAGTCAGAGACAGGTAGAGACAGACAGAGACAGAGAGAATGAGAGAGAGAGCTCGGTGTTGTGCTGGGCAATAGCAAAAGAAGAAACGCTGCGTGCAAGGCCATTAGCATCATTGTACGTGTGATACGTCACTGTGGCCTCAAATTGCATGCATCATCAAGTTGTGCCAAAATAGTAACGCATTATAGACACATCTTCCAGTGGATTGAAGTGCGTGATTCATAGATTGAAAATTACAGCAGTTGCAGACATGAACACTATGTCGAGAAAGCTGTTGTCGAACTTAATGGCACTGTGAAAGTAGAAAAGATTCGTGAAAATTGACATTCAATTGTACTTGGGGTCTTCGCTGCCTCTGTAACACTACTGCATATAATCAGATCTTGGCTGTTCATCCGGTATCAGTTGACTGATGATTGCCTATGGGCATGACACTATTAGTTTCCACGAACGATGCGTGGAGCTCTGTATCATTTGTTCTTCGGGTCATGTGAGTGACACAGCATTTCACATTTCAACTCACCGCATGTCAGATAACGGTCATTGGCTGACGACACATAGAGCAGACTGGAGGTCAGCTGGTGTGAGCCAAGGCAAACGGAGCTGTCTACACAATCTCGATCCGCGAGGCATTTCTATGCAAGAGAACAAAGTGGACAAGGTAGCATCGAGGAATACGGCCACATCAGAAATTCGTGCAGAGATCACATATAAATGAGAAAAGATCGTTTCAAGTTGAAATATCCTGGTTCTGTTTTTGTGAAACTACATTCAAGTAGCATTGAGGAATACGGCCACATCAGAAATTCGTGCAGATCACATATAAATGAGAAAAGATCTTTTCAAGTTGAAATATCCTGGTTCTGTTTTCGTGAAACTACATTCAGGCAACGTGCACTAGCTGAGCTGGCCTGATGCATCTCTCAAGCTAACACCACCTGTCCCATGGAAAGCAGTTCATAGCTGCATACTCTTCCTTGTTGACGCTTGGCATCACTGTGTTAAGTACGTGCACCAGCTCCCGCGAGTAAGGAAACAACGGATATATGAACTTATTTGGAGAACTTTGGCCAAGTCCTACTTCATGCAGGAGACTTGCCCTTGTGGTGAGTATAGTAGAGCCCGCTTGACAATGATGCCCCCCCCCCACCCATATTATTAGACTTTCATTTCCCCCGAAATTTACCCAAAATAAGAAATGTATGTCGTCGGAGTCTCCATTGGTCTGTACATGTACTCAAACTACGCCTTGCGCGTGTTCGTGTAAGATGGTTTCCACTGCAAAGGTCTCCACCTGGATTGAATTTTTAGAGTAGAGTTGTGACCATAATCTTTTGCTATGGTTTTCCCTCACCGTCCATCTCCACCCAAAGAGCCCATTGAGCAATGACATACTTCAACGAAGTAGTTTGGACTGGTGACCAGCTTTACAGCCACCTGGGCTTAGGTGGGCAGGGTGTTGAGCATCAAGCAGTGCATTCCTACTCATTCCCGAGTGAGCTCACGTGCATTATCCATACATTCCGTATTTGGCAATGTGCCAGATAGCCTATTGCTACGGGTTGATTGACGTGCCAAGGGATGTAAAAGTAAATAACAAGTATGTGACATTGGTGTATGTGACAGAGGCATATTATGTGGCTGGGGTGTATGTGAGAGTGGTGTATTCTCTACCTGTGTCAGTGCACAAGGGTTGCACAGTGGTCCTCCGCAGTCCATGTCTGTTTCATCGCCACCGACAGCTTGATTGAAGCACGTCACCTCTGCATGCAGGGAACGGTACACGCGCACGCACACGCACACACACGCACACACACGTGTGTTCACGGGCGGGCAGGTTACGCATTCAACTACCGTAGCCACCAATGTGAATAGCATACATTTGATGTGAAATGTTCTATGTTCCCACCAAACTTTCCACGTGCCTTATACACTGGGCATAGAGTGCAATGGAGACTATGCCCACACAATAGTAGTCCCGCCAGCGTAATTGGAGTGAATTCAAATCCTTACCATCGACTTTGAGAAAGGCCACGCCGCTAGCGGCAAAGCCCTTCTCATTGGTGACGTTGCAGTGGTAGTTGCCCTCGTCCGAATGCCGTGAATCGGATATGACGAGAGAGCCGTCCTGCGCTAGGTTGAGCCGATAGTAGTCGATATCCACTCGGGCATTGTCTTGGTACCATGCGACCTGCAATAGGTAACGTATACATGCATATTAACGTTCTTTAGCTTTACACATACGGTGGAGGGCACCTGGTGTATACTGTAATAAGATAAACATTGTACTTGAAGTACACTTGCTAAGAACGGATGCTAAGAAGGACACTGTCAAGGGCACGGGAGTATTGCCTGATAATGAATTGTGTCCGGATAAGATGCGCCGAGGATACTTTGGGAACGTACGAATTGTCACTCGTTGACTTTTCGAGGAGTTTCGTTTCTCTGAAGAGGCGGATTATTGGCCTCTTCAGAAAACGAAAGTCTCCTCGAAACTCCTCGAAGCTCCACAACCTCATCCGGTGGGAGAGGTGGATTAGTTCCGAAGAGTTAGGAAGAGATGGTCGATCGGATCGGACGTCATTATCGCCATGACTATTCCACTGAAAACTCCACAATGATAGAAACCGTTCTACTGGGACACTTCAACTAATCTCTTTAAATAATTTGTTCGAAAAGTTGATGAAAACAATTCGAACGCACCCAAAGTACACTATCCTTTTCCCTAGGGAAGTTACTCTGCTTGATACCCCACTGGAAGATTGGGCAATGCACTATTCTAACTTCAGTGGTGGAAATGGGTATGTGCAGAAGACGGCAACTTGACAGCTGTTCGTCTCCAATGCCTGCAATTACAGTTGCTTGGGATGCCGGTCTCTCCCTCCCTCACCCTTTCTCTACCTCCCCCTTTCCCTCCCTCCCTCCTTCTCTCTCTCTCTCTCTCTCTCTCTCTCTCTCTCTCTCACTCTCTCTCACTCTATCTCTCTCTATCTCCCTCTTTCTCTACTAACCTCGGGGACTGGTGAGCCACTTGTTGCGCATGACAGTGTCACAGATGTAGTACTGTTGACAACAGACTCGACAGGCGCCGATACAATAGCTGGCTGAGCTGTGGGCATGCGGGTGCATCAAAGATAAAGACAAAGCAGAGAAGTGAAAAAGTGCAAGGCAGCAAAGAGTACCTAAAACTCTGCAGTTGTTTCTTATTACACCTGTGGCATGTGAAGCAAAGGGGAAGTCCCTTATTGGCCTTCACCCGGAAGAGATCACGAGTACTATCTTGGAGATTTTACACCCCTCCGAAATCTGTCATTTAGGTATTTCCCTGTATTCACTACCTGACATCCCGTACAGTAAGATCGGATGCGGAAGAGCGCAGGGGTACGAGGTGCAGCCTGGCATTGTTCGAGAATGTTCAAATGTTAGCCGCTTTGTTCCTATTTCCCGATTATGACAAGCATCATGCTGTGTGGCCAAACATGTGGAAACACGGTCATGTAGAAAACACTACATGCATTCTTAAATTTGAAAATGATAATACAGCCTGGGGTGTCCTTAGATGTGTACCAATTTCCAGCCCTAGAGTTCATTGGCGAAGTGTTCTTTGATGCCCGATCTTACTGTACAAACCCGTACTTACTGCAATTATAGACTAGACGAGGGGTGAGCGTCTCAAGCTGCGTCAGAGCGACACCTGTAACACGGGCCGGCAACTGACACTGGACTTGCCCCGGTTGATCGAGAATGCCGGCTGCTACCAGTGTGGTGGCGTAGTTCGGTAGCCACTGCAGCGTGCAATCGCAGTGCAGCGAATTGCCATGCAACGTTCTGCCGCAAAAATCCACAGAGCACACTATTCAATTACGACGTTTGCCGGAGTACATAGTACGCAGTTGATGGTACTAGTTCCGTCTCAGTATCACTGGTAAGGCCACCCTTTGTTAATTCATTGTTTAACGTCCTTTTTTTCGCGAAAAGGTACGCGGGAGGGCGGAAAAAAAACAAAAGCCCATTCCAAAAACTGGAAACCCCAATCAAACATATTGACCAGTAAAGCATGTGATATATACAATATTTCTGGGTCTAACGGCACTTGCAGGCATAGAACAACACTCTTTGATGGTACATTGGAGCACATGCCTGATGAATCCAACAAAACAGGTACATAGCATGGAGTTAGTATGTCATGAATTCATTACATCTGGATTTTTACTAGGACACACACCGTACGATATTTAAAAACCAACAAAAAAAGAAAAAGAACACAAGACAAAGGCATGCCCGGGAGGCAAGATTATAAGTTTAAGGTCATGATCGGCACACTGTGAAACTACACAATCATGTATTTACAACTTCGCATATTATTGGTACTACTACTTTCTTGTTTTTTTTCCAGTCTGAGGCAAAAAGGTACGCGGGCGCGGACGTTAAACAACGAAAAAAGAAAGGGTGGCCTAACCTGTACATGTGGGTAATAGATCTTGCTGCATGTACATGTACATACTCATACACGGCACAGAGCACCACACATCATTCGTAGTAACTA